TCCCAGTCTAGGGTATGACTCTTAGAGTGTGGTACACATTTCATCCCCTGGTCTCCACCCCCCTTTTATTTTTTTACAAAAATTACAATAATTTTGCTTACAAAAATAAGATTGGCCTGGAGCTCGCGCTCTATGGGTGGCAGCAGCTCCTCAAGGCATGGGAACCAGGAACCCCTGTGACCTGGGACCACCGAGAGCAGGGCTCCAGGGAAGGGGGTGGCTGGTGGGAGGGGTGCCAGATCCTGCCCCTGAAGAGCACTGGGCTCTACAGCCATTCCCTACCCTCCCACCACCCACTCAACCCGCAAGATGATGGTCTTTATTATTTGAATATATTATTTGAATAGAGTTTCCTCTGTTAGTATGGAATGATGTATTAGATTGAACAAGCCACCAAGCAAGTGCTCAGAGATCACTTTGACGGACCCCCAGGATTCTCTTGACATTCCTCAGGCAGGATGCCACCTTCAAAGACCAGGACTTCTATAGGGGGTTTCAGGAGCGCCTCACCATCCAGGAGTAGTTGGACAGAAAGTCAGCTAGATCACATAAAACCTGGACTGGAATTTATACAGTCAAGGTTTGTGATCCTATCCAGGAAACCCTCACCAGAAATTACAAGGTGATATTGTCCACCTGGTTTTTTTGTGTTTTTTTTTTTTTTTAAGATTTTCTTTATTTATTTGAGGGATGCCTGGGTGGCTCAGTTGGTTGAGCATCTGCCTTTGGCTCAAGTCATGATCCCAGGGTCCTGGAATCAAGTCCCACATCAGGCTTCTTGCTCAGCGGGAAGCCTGCTTCTCCCTTTGCCTGCTGCTCACCCCTGCTTGTGTGCGTGCTCTGTCTCTGGCAAACAAACAAACAAATAAATAAATATTTTATTTATTTATTTGAGAGAGGGTGAGAGAGATAACACAAGCAGGGGGAAGGGCAGAGGGAGAGGGAGAAGCAGGCTCCCAGCTGAGTGTGGATTTTCCCCCAGGCAGGACTTGACTCCAGGACCCCGAGATCATGACCTGAGCTCAAGGCAGATGCTTCACCGATTGAGCCACCCAAGCACCCCATCCACCTAGTTATTTGACAGACAGGTGAAAATTAAGGACCTCTGTGTGTTTACTCCACCAAGAACGCACCAGACTGCCCAGGAGAGAAGGTGAGCCTGTGAACACAGAAGTGACAGCATTGGACATCAGACGCTGTGGCCCCAGCGAGAAATGGATTTGCGACTTGAAGAGACGAGACTCGTCATTGGAGGTAAATATCATCATTTTACGAAGATAAACGTTGTTATGAATGTACTTTTTTTGTAGGTCCGTATTTTTGACTACTCAAGCTATGTTTACAAAGTGAAGTTGAATGGAGAATATATGGCAATATGAGTTGAATAGATGGCTAATATGGATACTTCAGATATTTCTGAAATCCACTTGGTTCTGTTCTTCACACGTGTGTAGGTGCCCCACTGTACTGGTACCAGAATGTCAGACTCCTGACATTACCCCCTCCCGCCGCTGAGCTCTGTGACATGACCCAATTGATATAAAAATTTTAGCTTAACTAGAAGTCTATACTGTGCCTCTGGGGGCACCTGGGTGGCTCAGTCGTTAAGCGTCTGCCTTTGGCTCAGGTCATGATCCCAGGGTCCTGGGATCGAGCCCCGCGTTGGGCTCCCTGCTCAGCGGGGAGTCTGCTTCTCCCTCGCCTGCCGTTCCCCCTGCTTGTGCTCTCTCTCTCTGTGTCAAATAAATAAATAAAATCTTTTTTTTTAAATGAGGGTAATGGGGTAAAAATGGGGCATTCTTAGCACCCAGCCTGGTCCAAAGCATGGAGGGAGGAGGGAGGGACAGGGAGGGCGGGAGGAAGGAATCCCTGACAGGTGCTTCCATACACACACAGTTGCCAAACCTTTGCCAGTGTTTGGCTGGCTGGGCTGACTTAGAACCAGGCTGGAACTGGGCTCAGGTAGACCTTGGCGGGGCAGGGGTCGGGGGGGAGTCCTTCACCACTCACCAGCCTCGTGACCTTGAGCAAGTCTCTCTGAACTTCGGTTTCCCTTCTTTGAAGATCGCTGGAAATAGCAGTCCACCCTGTGCTGGCTCAGGACCAAGCCCTTTCACCCCTAGCAGTGCTGTCACCATCTCCCCTTTCCAGAAAGTCAGAAGTGAGCCCAAGATCTTGCGGCTAGCAATGGGGAATTTGTGGGGGTGTTCTTGGTAGTCACGGTAGACAGGGAGGCCAAGTGGGACAGTCGCATGCAGAATTGTCCCACATCCTGCAGGCATTTGAGTGTCCTGCTAGACATTCATGAAGCAAAAACACTCATTTACAATGACCTGAGCCTAGAACCTACCCCATCCCATGTAGTGATGAAGCCCACCACCTTGTAAGAACCCCACATCTCAGGCGCCTGAGTGGCTCAGTTGGTTAAGTGTCTGCCTTCGGCTCAGGTCATGATCCCAGGGTCCTGGGATCGAGCCCCATGTTGGGCTCCCTGCTCATCGGGGAGCCTACTTCTCCCTCTTCCTCTGCCCCTCCCCCATGCTCCCCCATGCTCATTCTCTCTCTCTCTCAAATAAATAAATAAAATCTTAAAAAAAAAAAACTCCTTATCTCCTTGTGGTCTCCACCTTAATTTGTCTGGGTGTGTTATCTTTGCTTAAGATTACTTTCCTCTTTCCCTTATCATCAGATCTGTTATTATTGGTGGGAAGGAATCAGTATCTTCCAGCTGGACTAAGAATTAAATTGACATGAGACAGATTAACAACAGAAAAAAAGCAAAGTTTTATTATGTATGCATGAAGGCCCCGTCATGAAATTCAGACCTAACGAAATGACTGAGGCAGGTAGTCTTTATCCTTTTAGACAAAGAGACAGTAAAACTGTGAGGGATTGAAAGGACCAAGAAAACTTCATAAATTAGTAAAAAAAAAAAAAATAATGAACCTCTCGGCTCTAAATGTCCTATCTCTGGTGGTAAGAGTGTCTCTTTACCTCCCAGTATAGGGAGGGGACCTTTTACCTGGGAGATTTATCTCTTGCTTTCAGGGTACAGAGGAGGGTCTGAGAGCTATCCTCACACCGGCTATCTCTTAAGTAACTTTTATTTTAAAATAACCAATATGTGGGGACACCTGGGCAGCTCAGTCGGTTAAGCATCTGCCTTCAGCTCAGGTCATAATCCCAGGGTCCTGGGATGGAGCCCCCCATCGGGCTCCCTGCTCTGCGGGGGCAGAGAGCCTGCTTCTCCCTCTCCCACTCCCCTTGCTTGTGTTCCCTCTCTCGCTGTGTCTCTCTCTGTCAAATAAATAAATAAAATATTTTAAAAAAGAGAGAAAACGCAAACTACCTTGTTTAAAATAAATAAATAAATAAATAAAAAGAATAAAATAACCAATATGCAAAAGCGGCACATTTTGGGGCGGCTTTCCCCTGGCCCTTACGTAATGATCCCAAACTGTGTTTTATTCAAGTGACCTCACTTTCATTTCCTGGATGTTCAAGAATTCACAAATCAACGAAACCTGAAAAACAAAAACTAAATTTAATTCTGGCTCACGCCAGGGAGAAATGTAAGCAGAAGTGCCTTTTCTTGTGAAGCAAAGGACGAAGCTGGGTTATTACAGGGTTCGGGGAAGGTGAAATTAGGTAACATTGAGATGAAACAGTGTATGAATGGGCTCACAGCGAAGTGGGAATGGGAGCAGAGACGGCCCCAGCCCATCCTATTGTGCTGGAGACCAAGGAGGTTAAAAAAAAAAAAAAGTTGGAAGGTTGTGTCGGCCTCCTTTCCTGCCCGGGCCTGGGAGAGCCAGTCCATAAACCTCAGTGAAAACAAGGGTGGGCAGGGTGTGGCCTCTCTGGGTGAACTCAGCCCACACAAGGCAGATCCCTTCAGGCGAGGGGGGAAAATTCCACTTTTCATGTGGTTCTTATCCAAATCCCTTCCCTTAATTCATATTAAATAGGTCCAAACACCTGTTTACTTCATGCCTTTACCCCAGTATATCCATGTTTTGAAAGACATTATTTCAGGGTAAATCGATTTCCTGGGGCGCCTGGGTGAGCTCAGTTGGTGAAGCGCCTGCCTTCGGCTCGGGTCATGATCTCGGGGTCCTGGGATGGAGTTCCCCCCACATTGGGCTCCCAGCTCAGCCCGGAGTCTGCTTCTCCCTCTCCCCCTCCCCCCTGCTCATGCTCTCTCTCTCTCCAATGAATAAAAAAATCCTAAAAGGGAAATTAAAAAAAATCGATTTCCTTTTACGTCTCCTTTACCTTATAGGGACGGCAGTATTTTTTTGGAAATTATGTGGATAACTCCTGCAGTGCAGTTTACGCGGTACCAGGCCCCTTTGCAAGTGTCCTTCCCTGTGGTGTCTCACTCCATTCGCTCACCAACTCTGTGAGGTCAATGCAGTTATCATCATCCTCATTTTTACAGTAGAGAAAACCGGGGCACAGAGAGGGAAGGCGACTTGTCCTGGGTCACCCAGGAAGTAGTAGATCAAAGGTTTGAACCCAGGGCAGCTGGCTCCAGAATCCGCACTCTTAACCACTCTGCTAGCCTCCCTCTCGGGTGAGGGAAACTACCTAGGGACCCGCTCCCCCCCACAGCTCAGGATATTAAGGGGGCTTTCCAGATGTTTCTTATTGAAAAGGGGTGTTGGGTGTGTTAGGGGTGAGAACCACTGACCTAGTTCGTGGTGTGTCCTTCACGCCACAATCTGCCACCAGGGTCCTGAGTCTGAGCCAGAATGGGGGTGGGGGTCAGCTGTTGTGGCAAGGGGCAGGGGACGGACAGGAAGGAGTTGGCCAGGTGAGGCCCTCGGATCCCCACTGGCCATGATGCCAAGGACTGTTTATGCTCAGACTCTGCCTCTTTCCTCCTCCTCCCTGAGGGGCGGGGATCTCCTCTGTGGAAAAATACCCAGCTGGGCGAGCCCCAGTGAGAGGGAGGAGGCGAGGGGAAGGGGCTGGGACTCACAGGACCGACTCTTTCCCCCTCTCGTGATTGCTGTTTACTGGGTCGGGTTCTGGGAAAGCGCCAGATTGCATCAGACAGGGCCTGAGGAGGACACGTGGCCTTATAAGTTGGGGCCGGTGAACAGGGAGGTGTCGGGAAACCAGACACAAACAAAGCTTTTGAAGACGACACAGAGAGAGACAGCGAGAGAGAGTCAGATACAATGGCCTCCTTGCCGAGAGCAGCCAGCCCGGCCCGGCAGCCCCCAGGCCCAGAGGACGAAGACCCCAGCCTGGATGAGTACGACCTCTATAGCCTGGCTCATTCCTACCTGGGTAAGGTCTGGCCCTTTCACCTGCTTGGTCCCTCCACTTCCAACCCCACACTCCCAACTAGGATGCCTCCTTGGCCTTCTCCCCACCCCCAACCCATTCTCTTGACCCCTCAAGTCATCTCATCTAACCCCTTGGCCACTGAGTGCTGTCCTGCACAGCCCTGGGACCTCGCGCACCCCTAGACTATGGGAGCAACAACAGACCATCGGGGGCCCCTCACTCCACAGACGGGGCAACGGGGATTATGTCTGCCCCAAAGCTAGGTGGTGACCACTCCCCAGTCTGCCTCCTCCAAACCATGCCCCTTCCACCCCGCACTCCCGGCCCCCTGCCTCTCCTCGGATGTACCGTGCCTCCGTTCACCTCACCTCGGCCTCTTGCCTGGTTCCCAGGAGTGGGAGGCCGGAAAGGTCGCACCAAGAGAGAAGCTGCCGCCAACACCAACCGTCCCAGCCCTGGTGGCCATGAGAGGAAGCTGGTGACCAAGCTCCAGAACACGGAGCGGAAAAAGCGAGGGGCACGGTCCTGAGGCGGAGCTGGAAGTAAGGAGTCAGGGGACCCAGAGGTCCCTCCGCCTCGGAAGGATGTGCCTGAATGTGTATGGTTGGGTGGGAAGAAGGGACCCAAGAGCCGTTGTCTCAACATAGAATAAAATGAGACACACATTCGACTCTGAGTTTCCTAGGGACCAGAGCAAAGGGGGAAACACAGAACCTTTCCAATTGGAGGGACATTTGGTTTACGGGGAGGGACACCAAGGCCCAGAGAGGGTAGGGTCCTTCTCTGGAGACACAGTGACCAGGACAGGCGGGGTTAGAACCATCCCTCTCTTGCCTTGCCCTAGATGAGGCCAGAGCCTCCGACACCACCCGGCGACGGAGACAGGACCACGGAGAATCGGAGAATCGGCACCTGACGGCAAGGCCCAGGCCTGCTTCCCCCCAATTCTCTCCCCAGGACTCACCCTACCTGACTGAGGCTCTGAGGGGCCACCAAGGAAGTGCCCCCAGCCCCAGCAAAAGGGTAAGATAGGGAGTAAGAGGCAGGGAATGGAGAGGCACAGTCGCAAGAAAAAAAAAAAAAAGCCCCTAAAAAGAAAGACAGCTAAGAAATTGGGCCTCCCTAAGGGTGGGAAGGACAATAAACAAAGTACAGCTGCAGCTTATGTGTGGGATTTGTCCCCTCTCCACGTGGTGGTGTGTGTCCGCGTTTCTGCCCGCGCACGCCTGTGTTTGCGCCAGCCCCAGGTAGCCGGTTTTGTTAGTGTCTGTGTTTGGTTGTGTGCCTGGGAGAGGGTGTACCTGATTTTGCCTGGACGGGTAGAGGCCAGCATGTTATTTTGGTGCGCATATGTTTTGGAGACTGTGTCTCCGTGGTTTCTTAGGAAATGCAAGAAAAATTCCTGTTTCTTTGTCATGCTGCCTGGGAAACAAGTCCCCTCCCCGGCTCCTCTCCATTTCTAGAAAAAACAATCTTATTAATCATATCATTTTCATATAAAACCACCTTCTGGGGGCGCCTGGGTGGCTCAATCAGTTAAGCTTCCGACTCTTGATCTCGGCTCAGATCTCCATCTCAGGATCGTGAGTTCGAGCCCCTCGTTGGGGCCACACCCAGCGTGGAGCCTACTTACAAATAAAATAAAATAAAAAATATATAAAAACCACCTTTTGAAGTGAATGGTATTTACTGGTGCCAAATGCAAAATGGAGAAAACTAGGATTTAGAACATTAAGGGATTTGCCCCAGATTACCGAGGGCTCAAATTCAAGGATTCTCACTGTCCTCACCTACCGGGCGAGTCCCTCTGTCAGGGGGGCTGCCAGGACAGGGTTCTGGGAGGTCAGCCGGGGGAGGAAGATCCTTACCTCGTATACATAATCAGTCTCAGGACCAGAGTTTGAGAAAGACATAGGGCAGATAAGAGGATCTATTGATTGAGAAACAGGTTTGGGCTGCTGTAATGAAGACTCAAAATGGGATAGAAAGTTCTCCCTCTGTCACATAACAGCTCCAAGGGTCAGTACTCTTGGGCTAAAACGACAACTTCACTGTGTCAGGGATTCTAGCTACTTTTAGCCTCATTATTCTGCCACCCTCAAAACACGGCTTCCCCGGCACTTGGGTGGTTCAGTCCATTGAGCATCTGACTTGGTTTCAGCTCAGGTTGTGACCCCAGGGTTGTGAAATCGAACCCTGCGTCGGGCTCTGCGTTCAGCATGGAGTCAGCTTGAGATTCTTTCTCCCTCTGCCCCTGCCTCTCTCAAATAAATAAATAAATCTTTAAAAAACCACACACACTCAAAAACAAACCATGGCTTCCACTTTGGGGTCCAAACAAGCAGCTTCGGTACCTGCCATCACATCTGTATCTCAACCTGTGGAAAGGGAGTAGGGAAGGGACCAGGGGAAGCCACACCAATTCATTTTTAAGGCCATGACCTAAAAGTAGAATCCATTACATCGGGTCAGAATTTAATTACATGGCCACACCTAACTACAAGAGAGGCTGGGAAACATGGTATTTAGGTGCTTAGCCATGTGTTGGCCAAAACTTGGGGAGGGCAGGAGAGTGAATATTGGAAAAAACTAGCAAGAAACATTTTCCACAGGCAGACTCAACAGGAGGAGGGAGAACACCCTTAGGCCCTGGGCAGAGCATTTTTCCTTTTCTCCTGCCCTTTCATGTAAGCCCTAGGCTGCAAAACTTGGAGCCAATTGTTCTTAGGGACCTAAGAATACGAGCAGAGGAATGAGGCAGGTGTTGGAGCGGTAATAGGTACACAGCCCACCAGGACCAGCTTGAACCTCTGGGAATCTCAGTCCATCGGCCTCCCCTGAGTCTGCCCTACTAACAGTCACAGAATCTCTGGCTGGGTAGAACATTAGAGGACATCTAGTCCAACCCCACCGCACTCCAGACCGGGGTTGCCTCTGCTTGCTTGAATACCACTAGGGACAGGGAACTTGCTGCCTTTGAGTTGCCTGATTCCTTCTCAGAGCACCTTGTTAATGTGGGCTGAAGGGGCACCTGGGTGGCTCAGTCAGTTAAGCATCTGCCTTTGGCTCAGGTCATGATCCCGAGGTCCTGGGAGCCCAAAATAGGGCTCCCTGCTCAGCGGGGAGTCTGCTTCTCCCTTTCCCTCTGCCCCTCCCCTCCCCCAGCTTGTGCTCTCTCTCTCTCTCGAATAAATAAATAAAATCTTTAAAAAAAAATGTGGGCCAAAATCTAACTCTCCCACCTGCCCCTGAACAAGCTTCTGCTCCTCTGGTCCTTTCTGCCTGAGATGCCTTCAATCTCACCCACCCTGCAAGGCTCAGTCAGCTCTTCAAAGTCTTCCATCACCAGCCCTCCACCACCCCCTGTCCCCTCATCTCCATCCAGGGAGACACTTGCTCTGGAATCACAGGCACAGCAAACCTGTGCCCAGGTTCTCATAAGCATTTGGCATACAGCTCCTTCAGACTTCCCCTTGAGCCCCTCTTTCTGTGATAGATTATTTATTCACTCCGTTAATGCCTATCGGATGCCTGTTGTATTACCAGGGCCTGGTTGAAGGCCTGGACTGCAAAGAGGGACAAATGAGACCCTGGTATGATTGGAACCAGGCCTTAGGGCCAATGGCCGCTCTTGAACTCAACAGGCAGATGGGAGGAGCAGCTCTATGCAGTGAGCTCTCAGCCCAGCACGGATCTGGTGTGTCAGCTTCAAAAAATCATGGCCACGGCTCCCAAGTATTGGGCTTACTGCTCTGTGATAGGTGTTTTATAGGCATTGTCCCATTTAATCCTTCCAATAACCCAACAGGCAGACTATTATTGATCTTATTTTCCAGCCCAGAAAACCAAGGTTCAGAGAAGGTAAGTAACTGGCCCAAAGTCACACAGCCACAAACTGCAGGAGTGGGATTTTGAACTTAGGTCTAATTTTTGAAGCCTAGGCCTTTCCTTTTTCACTATGTGCCTGAGAATAACCATGTACTGACAATGTGGAATCCTAGGTGTTAGTTAATTTCTGGTTAATTACTCCTTCTGAGCCTCAGTTTCCTGTCCTGTCAAAAGATACTTTATTTTTTTAAAAAATATTTTATTTATTTATTTGACAGAGAGAGACATAGCGAGAGAGGGAACACAAGCATGGGGAGTGGGGGAGGGAGAAGCAGGCTTCCCGCCGAGCAGGGAGCCCGATGCGGGGCTCGATCCTAGGACCCTGGGATAGAGCCCGATGCGGGGCTCGATCCTAGGACCCTGGGAGCATGACCTGAGCCGGAGGCAGGCGCTTAAGGACTGAGCCACCCAGGCACCCCCAAAAGATACTTTAAAGGAGAAAACACAGTCTGCAAAGTGCTGTGTCTCTAGCTGAACCTGGCCACTCCCTGTGCTCTGAATCCTTTGACACTTCGCCAGAAGGCCCCACATGCTAGTCTCACACCTGGCCTCTGATTCGCCTTCCCTGGCCTTGCCCTTCCCTGGCACAGTCTCTGCCTGGGAGGGCTTTAGGCTGTTCCAGGAACCAGATAATTCTTGGAATTACTGAATGTTCAGATCCTGGGAGTTAGAGCCCCATTCTCTACCCTTTGCAGAAGGGCCTGGTGGGGCAGGGGGCAGGGAGTGGCTGAAATTCACATGAGGACCCAGTCGGGACAAGAACCCGCTCTTGACTCTCCCCACCCAGAACCTCCCTCTTCTGTTCCACCCACTCTTCTACCCTCTTTCTTTTTGATCCCCTAGATGCATGTAATGTCTGTCTCCCCGGTTTCTAGGGTTCCTCCTGAGAACGGAGGGACGACTGACCTCAACTGCCCCTCGGGAGCTTACGGATGTTTCCCCATCAGGTTTCCACGGTTCAAAGGATTCCCAGCTCATTGCCGAGAATCAGGACACTCACCATGGGGCTCTTTATTGGCTTCCCAGACACCTAGGCCTCTTACGCCCACTCAGCTCTCAGATGTGTATTTTTTTAAATTTCAAAATCACCCCATAGTTGATTTTTAACTGGCACTCCTCAAAAGTAATGCTAATAATAGGCACAGTGAAGGCTACCGTTATTGATCATCTGCCCTAGGGTTTTCCCGGTCTCATCTCACTGAGCACTTCTGTGATTTCTACCCTGAGTGCATTTGGCTATACCATTTGCCTACTTAGAACTTTTAAAATGACCTTCTTACCTTTTTCACTCAAATATATTTTAAAAGGAGATCATGGGCGCCTGGGTGGCTCAATTGGTGAAATGTTCCGACTCTTGATCTCAGCTCAGGGCTTGATCTCAGGGTCGTGAGTTCAAGCCCCGAGTTGGGCTCCACGCTGGGCATGTGAGCCTACTTTAAAAAACAGAGAGAGACGACATAACCACCGAAAGTGGAAAACCACAATCACTTGCCATAACTAGAATTTTATAAAAAGAAACACCTAACTATAACTTTTTTCAGTCCACCTGTGCACACCGTCGATGACCCTGTGCGAGAAGAGTCACAGGTGTTCACACTTGGAGAAACACTGATTGTTTACCAGCCAGACACTCTGCCAGGTGCTTTGCATACACGGGAGGAGGCTTCATTGTCATCACTTGGTTACAGATAAGTTAAAGAAGACACGGATGCCTGGCTTCCCCTCCCAGAGACTCTGATTTCATTGGTCTGTGGTAGAGCCAGGGCTTTGGGAGTTTGGAGAGTGATTCTAACGTGCAGTGGTGTTTGAGGACGTCTGATAACAGTGGGCTTTTGTCTTGGGTTGCATATACCGAACACGGTCACAGCAAGGGCTCCCAAACCCTGTGCTCTCCTTACCATGTGGCCTTGCCACCTTCCCATCAAATGGGGGACACGGGACTGTGTTCCCTTTTTTTTTTAAAGATTTTATTTATTTGACAGAGACACCGTGAGAGAGGGAACACAAGTAGGGGGAGTGAGTGGGAGAGGGAGAAGCAGGCTTCCCGCAGAGCAGGGAGCCCGATGCGGGGCTCGATCCCAGGACCCTGGGATCATGACCTGAGCTGAAGGCAGACGCTTACCAACTGAGCCACCCAGGTGCCCGGGACTGTGTTCCTTTTGAACATGGGAGGACTTTGGGGAGTTCCTGGCCTGATAGAGTCAGGCAGAAGGCGTGGCAGCAAAACACACTGCAATACCATGCACTTCTACCTTGCGCTCTGGAGCCCAGT